AGCCAGCAAGGCTCATCTTGGACAATGCAACTACCCTCCAAACAGCTTGGCCATTCCTCCTCCAGGCCAGAAAACTACAAATGAAACAAAAAATAAGAGGAGTGAGCTGGTCTTTTAATGCTGCAAGAGCTCCCTGATGGTGTGGTGGGTTCTACAAAAGATGTGAATGATGTGACCCATTGATGATTAGCTTGCTGGAACCTTCAGAGGGATCCCATTTAAAAATGATGACACCTTAATGGCTGGCATCACCTACATTGAAAGGATCATAAATTCCCACCATTTTACAAATACATATCCAGGGAAATGGACAATCCCATGCCTTTAACCTCATTAATGTTCATCAATCCACATCAGGGAGATCCTCTTTATGACTCTCTCCTATACAGACCCACCCCAATCCAGTTCCTACAAAGTACCAATTTGGACATTATTGCAACTGCCAAACTTTGGATTAAGACAATGAGACACATATAGGATAATTTCTCCCATATTTACCTCAAGGAACTTGCAACATTACCCACACAATGTGGAAAAGGAACACCTTTAGAGCCCATTGCTGGAAATGAGCTTCCAGTTGTTTTCTGGTAGCAGACAATTTCCAATAGAGACACAGGGGTTATTTTGTAAAAACAACAGGGGAGAGATTCAGAAACAATAAGAGACTCTGAAGAAGGTCAGAAATGTTGTTTCTGTGCAGGCGTGAGAGCCTGTGCAACTGCCAAAAACCACAATGAAAATAAATTCGCTGCCATGAGAGTAATAATAAAGTTGAAAAGGGGGTCATAAAAACTCCAACAGAAAAACTGATTTGGCAACAAGAAAGACAAGATTTACTCTCTATCCACCATCCAGAAGGCAGAAACGCCTCCCCCGGAGGTTGGCTCACGGTCAAGCTTTCAAAACTTGACCTTTACATTAAAACTCTCTGCCTCCGCACAAATTGCACCCATTTTTGTGGGAAAGAAAACCCAGATGTTGCTCCACAATGATGGGCTTTAAAATCTCACCTAATCCTAAGCAATGATTTACTATCTCTGCCTCAATATTTGAAAAACAATTGCCAATGGAAAAACCATCCCAATTAGCGGATACAGGTATGAGAACCTTGGAAAAAAGCCCAAAGAACCCACAGTTTGAAAAAGGTTCCTGATGTCTGGAAGTTCAACCTTTTAATTGGCATTGAAGTCTCATTTTTTCCCCCCAATTTTATTGTGTAAGTCATTTTTTCTGACCCATCTGTGACAAAAACAAAGAGCTTGTGCTTTTCTTGGGACTAGAATCACTTGGTCAGTTGGGCCGCAACCAATTGCTGTGTCTGAATTTTTTGTTACACCTTCCAAACCCTTCCATCTTCATCAAAACTTGCCAACTCAATATGTGCGTGCAACCCTTGATTTTGCCCACTCTGATTCCAGAACTAATGTAGACATGATTGCTAGATAGCTAGAAGACCTCAAACCCCTTTTCAGATCCTGTACCCAAGACTTGAGACAAACCCAAGCCCACAAATTTGTCCATTAGATGGATAATGAGGTCCTGCACTTTCTGAAAAGAACTGGCTGAAAAAGAAAGTGGGAAAAAGTAAAAAGGACAATGGAATTTTTAGATAATAAACTATCTATATTACATACCCCAACATATGTTCAAAAGGGTGAGCACTTTATCTTGTACTGCTGCATTTTAAATCAGCCTGGGCTCTAAAGGGATTTGTCCCCAGGAGATCGTCCTACTTGTCCAGTCTCAAGAGATCCTCCACTTTTGGAGTGCTGTTCTCCCTCTGAAAGCACTAATTCTGCATCCTTTGGTCCATCTGGTTCAGCAGGTTTCAATGGATGACCACTGTAAATATAGTTAGCCAAAATGCAGAAGCAGAAACAGCAAAAACTGTTAGCATGTGCTTATGCAAATGTATATACCTGCAATACATGTCTGCATAATTGTGAGAAAACGCCTCAAACTTGTCCTCCAAAATTTTGTTACATTAATTGGCAGAAGAGTGTCCAAGAGGTAATCTTTTTTAGAGGCAGGTTCCTTTCTTTTGCTCTAAGTTTCTAAGTATAACCATGCACAAGAGAGAGAGAGAGAGAGAGAGAGAGAGAGAGAGAGAGAGNCGCCTATTTATTGTTGTGATATCGAACTTATTTGCAGGTGTTTAGAGAGAGAGAGAGAGAGAGAGAGAGAGCAGCAAACACAAAGCCAAAGCAGTTAATATGTGCAAACATTGAAATTAACCTTGTGAATATTTTTTAGAAAACTGAGGAAAAGGGTCTAACTTTGGCTCTGACAAACTTGACCAACCACAGATGTGGCTCCAGCTCTGCCTGGCTCCAGCTCTGGCCAGTACCATTACCAAAATTTCAACAGCAGTCCATGGGTCAAAATTGGCCTCAAGATGGGCCACCCAATCTTTTAACCAAATCAAAAAATCCATCCAACTTGGGTTGACAGCAACCACAGGGCCACAGCAGAAGCCAAAGGCACCATGGTCCATGGCACCCTGGTGACAACAGGCACTGAGAGATCTCCACAGGAGGCTCAGTGGTGGTAGTAGTTAATGTCACCACAGTTGAATAATTTTTGTGTAGCCACTGAAAAGATAATAATATAGTAAGAATGGTCAGTCAAAAAGTAATTTAAATGTTCTGTGCTTCTGTCTTTTGTGTGAAAAAGAAAACTCCAAAGAAAAAGAGGAAAGGAAAGCATTAGTGTGTTATATGTGTTGTTCTACTGTCTCTCCTACAGTCTACTTTCTGTTGCTGTTTGTTTTGCTGAAAATTGGAAAAATGCCAGCTAACCTGTTGGTATAGCAGTCTTTTAGGTCTACCTTACCCATGGCACAACCAACTGGTCCATGCCTTCTTGACATCCAATACACATCACCAGACACTCCACATTCACCCTCTGGAAAAAACCACAAAAGTTCTCCCTAAGGCACCAAGGTTTCCTCTCATACTTTCTGGAAACCAAACCTGCAGTCCAGCATGGGGCATGCAGTCCAACAACAGCAACTGGGCAATGAATGTTGCCTCCTGTCTGAAAGCCACTGCTTGCTCAATGTCTCCACAGAAGTTGCTGCACTCCAGCCCCTTGATGTGGCAATCAGCCTCTATCCAACCAACACCATGGCCAACAGCCCCAATAACACAGCCAGTCAAAGGAATGCCATCTGTGAAAAATTGAGAAAGAACACAATTTATATTTTTCATCACTTTGAGATTTTGCAACTTTGGAATACTCACTTTTTTCACTAGTAGAAAATCCACTTGAATCTCCCAAAGTCACTCAACAATAGCCACAGGAACCACTGACAAAACTGGTTGCAAAACAGTAAAGAAAGTGAGTGACATCTGTAAAGATTTAAAAATAGATCAGACACTATTTTATGACCTGAAGAATAATGATAATCCAAGGCATGATTCCTAACTCCTGAGGCTCTTCTTGCATTTCACACACAAAACTCAGTGCTGCAATAACCAACCAATTACATTCACACATAGGGAATGTCCAAAACAAATACAAGACATTGAACAACACTGCACAAAGAAAGCCAAATCTAGCATAAGTAGGCCAATCCAAACTTCAAATCGTGGTCCTTGGTCATTGTCCAGGTCAAAATCCTTGCATAACTGTCCATATGGTAGCTGTACTCAACAATGAAATTATGGATGCATGAAGAAATGCATCTTCATTTTCTTCAACAGATTTTTTTCTGTGGTTACTCTTGAAAGAGATAGTGGATCTGAGGATAGCAAACAAAAAAGTTATTCATGTTCACAGTAAAATTTGCTCCTGCAGGATTCAATGAAGGTGCTGTCATACCAGCAAATTTGGGCAAGAAGACAAGATTATCTCTGTATTTTTGAATGGAGCCAAACCCTAATATTTCTCTAAACTATTCTCTCTGTAGTGAATTTATTTAGAAGAATTATTAATTTTTTAAAAATCACAGGGTTTTTCTTTGTATATGCATTTGCAATGGAATCCTGAAAACAAATGGAAATATAACACTGCTCTAAATTTGTTCATGATTATTGGGACTTTTGGATAATCTATTGAATAAATTGAGTAACAACTGCTGCAGGAGTCTTGCATCACTTCTCCACAAGAGCTGCTTTGGCTATTTCTATCCATTCCAGATAAGCAGTGACCCTGGTTGCAACTGCTGGCTTATTGGTGCAACAAGTCGGACCATAGCTTGCCTGACGTGGGGAACGTTTAACTCTGGCAGCAGCAGGGGTCACCCTCTCTGATGTTTTCCAGACCAGTTGGTTCCACAGCCAGCTCAGACAGGAAGTCATTGCACCAGTTTTACTTGGTTCTTGTCCTGGAACTGCTGGGTCAGTTTTTCTGGATGTCAAAGGTGTTGAGGTTGGTGAAGATTTGGCTGTACTTGTTCCACTGATTGCTGTGGTTGCCATGGAAGTTGATGAAGTCTTCATCATGGTTGTTGGCACTGCTGGCATTGTTGTTGTGGTGTTGGTGGTTGGCACATCTGTAGTGCTGGTAGTTGGCACTGCTGCAGTGGTGGTGGTGGTTGGTACAGCTGTAGGGGTGGTGGTAGTTGGCACATATGTAGTTGTGGTTGGCACTGCCGCAGTGGTGGTGGTGGTTGGCAGTGCTGTAGAGGTGGTGGTGGTTGGGGTGGTTGTAAGTGAAATACACGTATCACATATTGGGTGATCTGTGTCGTCAGTGAAGGAAATAATGCCCACCAGAATGGCAGATGAACCTTTTCCAATCACCAATGGGCCTCCAATGTCACCCTGTATCACAAAACAGATAAAAGCAACAACAACAAAATAACTTCAGGACAGACTGCATGGACAAAAGATGTTTTGCCCAATGAAAAGGATGGCATATCACTCAGCACCTTAAAGAATGTTGCATACGTACATCACAAGCTAGGTTCATTCCTGGTGGTCCACCAAAGCAAATCTGTTTTGCAGAATCAAACAAATTTGAAGCACAGCTCCATGCAGACGTGCACGTTGAGGCATCCCTGATGGTGATTTCAGCATAGAATGTATCCTTATTTGTTTCTGTGTAATAAAATATGGCATAATTTAAGCTTGAGCCAGGACGTTTCACTCATATAAGTTTCTGCATGGTTCATTTTGTTTCATGACGTTGGCCCCATTCTAGGTGTGCTTTTTTTTTTATTCCACACCCACAAATATTATCTGTCATAACTGTCCTTCACGTTCTTTAATGTGCTGACAAACACTCCAGGTCAAGGCTTTTCAAAGGGTGGTACAGCACATGAAACTGGTGGTAATCCAGTGGTTGCCATGTGGTACATGCCCTTTGTCCCCAAAAATATCAAAAAATAGTTTGATAGGAAAAACCCACCCTTAGCTACAACAACTCTCCAAAAATTACAGCTCATATAATCACCATTTTCCATATTTTCTTTTCCCCTTTTGTGAAATTTTCACCAGGAAAATTTGTTTTTTTGCCTAATTTCTCCTTTCTCTGGCATAAATCACTGTATTACATAGTAATTTTGGATGCATTTTTACGTTATTAAAATAGTGCGTGTCTTCTGCTCAATGCTGCATGAATAGCTGGTGACCTGTGCAACAAAGTTTTTTCATTCTGGAAATTATTTCTTAGATTCGCAGAAGAGGGCAGAAAGGTATTCAAAGCATTGTTATCCTATTTCCTTCAATTTAATATTAATTTAAGAATAACTAAGGATAAAAATGATGGGGAACATTAGAGTGTCTACTCTTGAGATTCTTAACTCCTTGGTTGCAGAGGAGTGCTTTGCTGACAATGCAAGACTTATCAAGAAATAACAGACAGGCTCTTCATGCATCAAGGTTCTTTTATTAGATCTATTTTGACAACTTGATACACCAAGACAATACATCTGGAGGGAAGCCTGAAAACGGAACTCTGACTCCTGAGAGGATTCAATGATCAACTGATTCTATCAGTCTGACACTGGGGTTATAGACTTCAAAAATGCTGGTTCCTAGACTTGGGACAAGAGTTTAATAGTATGCAGTTAAACCTGCTTTTGAATCAAGGGGTGGAGAAAGCACTTGAACTGAGCACAATTCTGACCATCTAGGGTGCAGAGATTTATGCATTTAGGATAGTCATCTCTTGAAACACTGCTTCAAGTGTCTGGGCAGACAGCAGAAATTTATTGTTGGCTGAAGTTTACCATAGATTCATGAGCTGATTTCAAGAAGGGAGCACCACAAAAGGTGCTGGTGGGAAAATATCACCTCAATTGGTGTTTATGGAACTTTGCACAGAGGCAAAATGCTGCAAGTACAAAAATGCTATTTGTAACAATCTCCCCACACAACAAAGAAAAAGTGTGCTTTTTCTCCCTTTGTGTAAAATTCATTCCAGGTGTAATTTTTTCAGGCCAATTGGTTTTCAATTCCCTCTCATGCTCATGTATATTCAAACAGAAGAGGACAAATACTGCTGCGCAGTACAGCCATATATAAACTACTGCTGAAACAATTACTGCCCCAGAAAAGTGTTTCAGTTGATTGCAGAACTTTTTTGGAGAAGTTTGGTAGGAAATTTTCACAAAACAATTTTTTTAACAGTTAAGAGTTTTTGGGAAAATTGGGAACGCAAAAATGAATGGTTTGAAATTATGGGTGCCTATTCTAGCTTTTCTTCCAACAGTAACTGCAGAAGAGACATGTCAAATCTCCAGGGAAACATACATTTGTAAAGATTTATGCAGAACGGGTGTTCAACAGGCAATGGAGTATAATGGAAATGTCATGCTAAATTGGCCCATTTTGGATTTCAACTGTGCTGCATTCAACAAAATAAAGGCAAGTCATAAAAAGAGCAAAAAATAACAAAAAGTGTACTCGCAAAAAAGGACACATTTTGTTTCACAGAAGGTTTTTGTGAAAGGAGAAGTCATTTGTCTAGGGTTGTCTCCTAAGGTTTATATTGACAGAGGGGGTTGCAAGTTGCTGTTCAGCAGTGTGAGTCCTGAAGCAAAACAATTGTCCAATGCTTTAAGTGCAGAGAAGGGGGTGTTAGCAGATGCTCCACCCCAGTTGTTTTGGATTTTATGAACACAACTCAGGCTTCAGAAGTAACTTTTTTGATGAGCAGTCCAATCCCAGAGTTCTTGACAGCAACAAGTGCCACTACATGGAGTATTCAAGGAGTAAATTTGGTGTTGATTCCAACTTCTATTCTGGTTGTTTTGTTTGAAGAAGAAGTGGCAAAGAGTAATCTTCCCATGATTCCGCCAGCAGTTGCAAGCAGTAATTTGAGCAGTATTCATAAAGTTTTGCAGACAATTCATTGATAAAAAAAGAAGCAGAGTGAAAGGAATTGGCAAAAGAACATACAATTTTAGCAAATGGCATTTTAGTTGGATTGGCATATGCAATGGCTGATGCAGTTGTTATGGGAATTGCGGGAATTGGAGTTGGTTTGGGATACTATGTATGGAGGCATAGACAAGCAAGCGTGAGTTCAAGTTCATGGATACTTGAGATTTTTCAAAGAAATTTAGATTTGGCATTATAAACACAAAACATTTGCTTTTTAACTTTATAAGGTGGTGAGAGGAAGTTATCACAACGTCAAGTTTTGTTTGTTGGAGAATTTAAACATTTGATTATGCTGGCATGGAAATGGTTGATTTGGGGCCATCAATTAATCCGGGACCATCAGATTTGACTACAAGCAGAGTAAAACTTTCTAAAGAGGATGTGGCAAAATTTGAGCGAGAAAATAAAAATACTGAACTGTGCATGCATTTTTGCTGTATGCCAAACATTCCGGAATATTAGGTAAAAGAAACTATGGTTGAAAATGAGAGGGCATGATAGAGTAAAACCAGGTACTCTGGAGAGTGTCCTGACAAGAAGAACTGTAAAACTGGTTCAAAAGTCCATTCCAAGATATGTGAAGGAATATATGGATCTACTGTCATGTATTGGCATAAAGTAAATATACCAAGCCTTATGGATATTGAGGAAATGATGATTAGTGGGTTAATTTTAAATTCGATTTTTGCTGAATATTCAAAATAAAGTTATGTTTGATTTCTAGAGTTGGGAATTCATCCAGCACATGTCATGAATTGCCGGCTCTGGAACTATCATTGCCTTCCAATATGAGGCATTTCATGTTAAAAAGCAAAGCTGTCAAAATCTTTTGTTGGGCAAAAGTATAACTGTACAGTACAGTACAGTATAACTAGTTTTCCTGATGTTGCCCTGATGGACACAGGATACCAAAGGTACCTGAAGATGCACCAAGGTGAATAAAAAATGAATAATGGTGGAAAAAGACATTATTGCTGATGTTTTTTAAAATATACGTTTGCAGCTTTGCATCAAAATACAAAAGTAATGTACCTTGCTCTGCTAGAGGACAACTATCAGCACTGTATGACTGTTCATGAACAATAAGTGTGCAGGATTGATCCAGAAGAAGCAAAGCAATTTTATAAGGAGGTACAGCAGATGACTGGAATTTTGTCAAGTTATGACTTCATGGACAAGGATGGTTATAGGTTACTTGTTCAGAAAATGTCTGCATGCAAAGCAAAAATTTGGAGCATAGTGCAGAGTATGTCAGGGGCTAATGAGCCTCTCTGGCAAAGCTTGGATTTTGATGGTAGGAAATCAAATGAAGTTTGTAAACACAACTGGCCTTGTGTGGGCCTAATGTCAATACCTCAATCTTCAGTTTATGTCAGTCAGGTGTTTCCAAATATAACAAATGTCTCCACACAAATAAATGTTGGAGCTCTTCTTTCAGCTGAGTTCAAACTGCAAGTGACTCCTTCCTTCCTTGATTCTGCTCAGCTCCTGGTCCTCATCAGTGGAAAGTTTTGGTCAAGGCCTTCCACTGATGTGTGAATAATCTTTGTGTACACAATTCCAGTTAGCTTCCTTTGATCCCAGGGCTGATTCACCATAGTAGAATGAGCCCTGGAGATCATTATCTCCAAGGCTGGCCTGTTGGTGGTTTTCTTGGAAAACCTGTTTCCTTTTTGCACAGTTATTTCTTTTGGTAATTCTTTTCCTTTTCAGGTTTCAAATTTTCCCCAATACAACAGGGACAATGGGGCGTTTTGTATGCCACGTTGTCTGTTGTACTCTACTGTACCTGTCTTGCTTGGGGCAACATCTACTCATCCCAAGCTATGTTTTGAGTCTGTGGGCAACATCTCTTCAACCCCGGACAAAACCCCTCTTGGTTTCACCTGGCTTGCCACCAGATGGCAAGACAGGCAAGACCAACTGACTGGTTGGGGTTCCAGGTTGAATGATGGCGGCGCGCATGCACTGGCCTCCAGAAACTTCTGGATTGTTTGGCGCACGGCGCAGGTCCAATGTCAAAGATGCAAGTTCCATGAATCATCCTTCAGGGGATGAGGAGAGATGCCCAGATTGCTCCAGAAGAATCCATCTTGCGCCACTGCACAGATGGTGTAAGATCTTCAAGGTGTCAGGAGGTGACAGGTCCAGGGCAATGTGCGCAGATGCGTGAATTGGGTTTGTGAGGGCGGTCATTGTCCAGTCAGCTTGGCTACAAGTGTTTGCATGTGTTTTTTGAAAAAGCGTTGGAGAGGGTTTTGATGGTGCAATGACACAGTTTGCTCAAGTGACGTCCGTTTTGCGGGCGTGGACAGCATCTCCCATTTGATCAGGACTGGGACACTGGCATGCCCAGAAGGCAGGCATTGTTTTGCCAGCTGAGCTGTGTTTGTCTTTGAGTTTTTTGCATGATGTGCAATTGTGCACGTACAGACAAGAGATAGGTATTGGCCAATTGTGTGCATCAACGCTACTCAAAGGGTGTCCAAATACTGCCATCGTGGCTACTTTTTGATCACAGATTCAGAGTGTTGTTGTTGGTGCTGACAGGAGGTATGGTCTCTCTGCTCAATTGGTATTGACTGAGTTTGTGTGTGCAGCCTGTGGTGTTGACGTGGCTGACTTTGTCTACTTTGACTTTGGCACTTTTTTGTTTGGTTCCTGCAGACTTTGAGTGTGTTGTACCAAATGAAGCGCAGTCATCACACTATGAGTGAAAAGAGCTCAAATGACAGAGGTAATAGATTATTATATTTGTGCATTTGAGATAGAATAATAAGAATTCCTTTTTTGTGTCTGATTTGCAGGTGTCAAGCTGAGCAGTTGCAGCTCAGTAGACCTGCTGGAGGGTCCTATTGAGGACTTTGCCGGAATGGATCCCTTGTCCAGTGGGACTGGTACATCAAGTGAAGCTGGACCATTGAGCAAAGCTGGACCATCAGGTGAAGCCAGACCATTGGGTTTGAAGCAGCGGCGCGTCAAGGGAGGAGGGGTGCTGATTATCCCAAGCAGCATTGAGGACCTGATTCCGATCCTTGCTCAGATGGATGCCAATCAATGGCAGCATCTGCACCTATTCATTCCAGCTGTTGATACTGCAGTGTGTGCAGAGGTGACACAACGCAGGGTGGAATGTGATGCCCTTGCAGAAGTCCAGGAGATGAAGGTGGCAGAGGGGCAGCTAGAGGGGCTATGGACTTGAGCGGCAGCAGTAGACAGCAAATACCGCCAATTGGAAGCACAGGTCCTGGTTGATGAAAGGCAGATTTGGTAGTGGAAAGCAATGAACATGGCTGTGGAGGAGTGTCTCCAGGAGGCTTTTGCTGCACGCACGGCAATTGATGAGAGTCAATTGCGCTTGGTGTTTGTCTATGGCAGTTGGCTGATTTTTGGAGTTCCAAAGGAAGGGATTGAGTTGAATGGTATGTACAGCAACAACACAAGATAGATTATGAACAGGTGAATAATTGTTTGAATCCTTTGGATGTTTGCAGGGCTTGTCAAGGTCTACAAGGTTGCAGGGGAGCCAAAGCTCTCCTTTGCTTTAGAACATGAGGATCTGCTGAGATTGTGGTTGGAGGAATTTGACTTGGGTGACATTGCTGCAGCAGAGACGGCCTCCCCTGGACCAGATCCAGTGTCAATGGCCCAACTGCAGGTTGCTCTGCAGAGATGTGAAGAGATGGGCAAGCCGGTTGGATCAGAGTCAGTGGGAAGTAGAGCGCCATTGGTGATGGAAGTCAATGCTGACAAGGGGACTTCTAGAGAGGGGAGTGCTGCCCTGCAATTGAACATTGGACAGTCCACCCTCAGCGTATTTTGTGCATTTTGTGAGTTTTTTGACAAAGAGGTGTTTGCAGGATGTGTTTTGTAACTGCTTTCTTCATGCAGGTTGACAAGTCCTAGGGTGGTGGGAACAGAACCCTGAGGACATTGAAGCATATGTGACAAATGTTACTGAACGTACATGTCAATCACAGAGGATGTGGTTTCCAAGGTGCAAGGACAGCATCTGCCAATGCTGGAGACTGCAGTGCAGGACATGAACTATTATGGCAATGGTAGGCCCCAGACTGGAACTCCAGATGAAGGTTGTCCAGGTGTCGCAAGAGTGGGCCTATTTGGTGACTCATTGGTGTGCCCGTGGGTGGTGACAAAGAAGGCCTTCTTCACTCGCGTGGGTCCTGGAGGAGGAGGAGAGAATGTGTCTCCAGTTTTGGACTTCACTCATCTGACAAAAGATATGCCGCATGATGTCTATCAGGTTGGTATGAGTTGTGATGTTTGGAAGAGTGATGAGTGGTAATTCAATGTTGATGTTCCTTGCAGTATGGAGCAAGTGGTGTGAGTGCTATAATTGGTGCATTGCAGAACATCTGTGATCTGCAGGAGGTGTTTGATTGCATGTATGCAGGCCTCAACTTAAACAGGGAGAAGTTCCAATTCATGCACTTGTGCATTAGGATTTGAACAAACAACATCAAGTTGATGTGCTTTGCCACGGACGACACCAAATTTTTGTTGTTCTTCAATTTCTTTGAGGCGTTGAAGACTTCTTTCCAATGTCTATCAAGGATTTTCCAGTGCCCCATTTTTGCCTTGGGGGCATCATTGCCTGGAGTGTGGAAGGGATCCACAACAAAATTTTGTGTGGATGGTAAGTGGTTCCCATGCTTTCCATTTCATCAGGACGATGGGAAGAGGCTCAGCAAGGAACAACAGTTGGAGGCAGGTTCCATGTGCCACGCGTTGTTGGATTGCCTGTTGAGGCAAGAGGTGGGGCAAGTCCATGCAGATGAGGAGACACCTAGATGGTGGGCACTGCCAAAGCCACTGGAGTACTTGGTGCAGTTTTAAAAAATTTCATATTCCAAGAACAAGAATTTTGGGCACCTGTCTTCACGGGTGTTTTTGGGGTTTGCCTGTGACCATGTCCTTTGTATTACGTTTGCTGTAATGAGCACTACCAGTCAAGGTGGTGTAGAAGTTTTGTCTGTCGGGGGGAAGGGCCCGTCTGGAAGCCTGATGGAACTGCAACAACTGGAAAAGCTCTGTCCAAGGTGCATTGGCATTACAGAAGGATGCAACAGTACTTGTGTCCAATAAAGGAGAGTCTTGGAGGAGTGAAGCTTTGTTCCACTGGCATTGTGAAGAATCCCTTTGATGAGTATGTTTGTTATGATGATGAGGTTTGATGTGTGATGCTAACTTTCTTCTTGTGTGGTTTTCCAGTGTGGAGTCATCTCTGGATGGAGATTTTGAGGAGACCTTTGCTCCCAAATTGACTTGGTTGGCAAGGACAAGGGTTGCAGACCGGATTGCAAGGGGGTACAAGCCCCATGGATGTGTTGTGCATGTCAAAAGTTGGGGAACAGATGGTTGTAGCATCCGGTACTTTGTTGCAGTTGTGGCTAGTTGGTGGTCACGGACGTGTTCAGGTTGGGGCAGACAATGTTGAGGTCATAAGGCACCTGATGTCCAAGGGCAGTAAGATGTTGATGGAATTTTGTTTGAAACTGAGGCCTTTTCCAGTGTGGTGTAAATATTTTTGTCAGTTATTGATGACAATGATCCTTTGTTTGAATCAAAACAAAATGAGTTGCTGGAATTGGGTATTTCTTGAAAGTTGCGGGTATAAAGTTTGGTGATGGTTGGCAGTGGCCCTTCTTGTATATAGGATCTTTGACGGAATTGATGGGTGATTTTTGTATGGGTTGCTGAATTTCAATGAAAGTTGCTGAATCTCTTGTTTGAAACGACGGGTATATTGGTCCTTTTTTGATGGTTGATGATGTTGGTCTCTTGTTGTATTTGACAGATAAACAAAGTGCCTGAGTTGAAGTTTCTTGAAATCATTCCTTTTGGGTTGTAGTGATGGAGTTGTTTGTCATTTCATCCATATCCTGAATTTTCAGGGGGATAAGGTTGTGGATGGATTGGTTGGGTAAGATGTGAGGCATTGATGTACCACCAGCATTGTAACATCTGCTGGACATCAATACATTGACAGACCAAATCTTGTGATCCCTTGGACTTTGATGAACCTTGAGAATTTTGCAGAGTTTCCATTTGAGACAAGCCATTGGTGTATCATTATGGAAGGTACTCTGCTTGAGGAGAGCAATTTGCCCTTTCTTTAGCTCAAGGTAAGTTTTTGACTTCTTATGGTGGTCCACAGGGGATTTTTGTAATGTTGCTACGTAGCCATCGTAGAAGGATTTCCATAGTGCGCATACAATAGCTATGCAAAACTTTGCTTGCTTGGTTAGGCCCTCTTTGTTGGTATGTTCCACAAATTGGATAGGATTGGGCCCATAGCAGTATGGGTCAAAGTCAGGAACAGATGTGTAGTCTGCTTGCGGTGTGTTGAGGAACATTGATGGGGTGATTGCAATGGGGTCATTCCTGTCCATTGGTATGTACATGAGTGGTCTGGAGTTGATGACTCTGGCCACAAACGTTATTGCTGATCTGATGGTGTTTCTGTTTGTAAACAGGATTCCTCTAAATGAGGGGGCTAGTCTTGATTTGATGATTCCAATCATTTGTTTGTAAAAGCCTCCCCACCATGGTGTGCAAGTGGCATTAAAATGCCACTTGATGCGCTTGGTTGTAAATTCTTGAATAATTTCCTCTTGATTTGCCTTCAGGAATCTTGGCCATGCAGCCTGAAAAGTTGTTGCATTGTTGGAGACAATGATTTGAGGTTTGATGTCTCTTAAGTTGCAAAAGGTGTCATAGGCTCCCATGAAAGATTTGAAGGTGAGGGTGTCCACTTCTTCTAAGTGGATAGTCCTTGTCAATGGGCATGAGAATACACATATTGATATGCGTTTTTCCATAGGAATGTTGAAAGGTCCCACAAAGTCAATTCCAACAGTCTTGAATGCTTGCACTCCAGTACAATGATAAGATGGTAGAGGAGCCGTTGTTGTTAAATATGGTAAATTGTTGAAGCGTTTGCACCAGTTGCATTGTCTGATGGTCTTGCAGATGAGATTTTGCCCTCCTTGAAGCCAATATGTGTTGTTAATTTC